AGGTGGGACCGCCCTGGAGGGCGGGCGTCGGGCCCCCAGCCCCGCGGCCCCCGGAGCGCTCGGGACTCGCCGATCGCGGGCTCGGCGGCAACATGTCTGTGGCGTTCGCTGCCCCGCGGCAGCGGGCCAAGGGGGAGATCACGCCCGCCGCCATCCAGAAGGTGAGCCGGGAGGGGCGCCGGGCGCGGGCCGCGGAGCCGGGGATGGCTCGGGCCGGGCGGTAGCGGCCCGGCGCTGGTGGGGGCGGGCGGGCGGGCGCCGGCAGCCCCGAGGAGCCCTTTGGCGCCTGCTCTGCCCGCACAAAAGCGCCGGCAACCGCCGCCCGATTTCCCCGCGGGGCCCGGGAGGGGAGCCGCCCGCGGGACTCCGGCGTCGCCCCGCCCCGCCGGGGACCCCACTCGCGGAAGCTGGAGCCCGCAGAGCCGCGCCGCAAACTCCGCCGAGTTGAGGCCCTCCCGGGAGCACTTGAGGGGACCTTCCGCCAACGCTCCGGGAAGGCGACGGAGGAGCCCGCGGGCTCCGAGCTTCCCCGGGGGGCGCAGCCGGCATCCGTTCCGGTCTGCGGCGCTGGATGCGCCCGAGCGCGCCGGGCGGGCGCTGGGGCTCCGCAGGGCGAGTCTGCCCTCGCCGGCCCGAGTTGGCCGTCCACCCCGACCGGCTCTGCGTGAAGTCAGGATCGAAGCGCCGGGAGCTGCGTCCTCAGAGGAGAGTGCCACCCCGGTCTCCGCTTCGGGATTGCCGGCTGGGGACACAAAGGTTCTTTATTATCCTCCGAAGCTCTGTCTGAGAGCTAGGCACTCTTCTGGAGCTCGGCGTGGTAGACTTTGGAGAAGTTGCTTGCTAAGTTTAACAGTCCGTCTTGAGTATTTCCGTCTTGTTCCCTGCCCGGGAGCAAGGCTAAACGGAGAAAATCAACTTGTAGCAAGAGCCGGGCACCCTTGCAGACCTGTGGGTTATGGCCATCGGTTTCTGTTTACTGTCAGGGTCTTTGTAGTGTGGCATTTGACATTTGCCCAACTGTTGCTTTATTTTCTTTGAAGAAACCCGCCTGGCAGTGCCTGGAAACGCAGTTGCTTTCTCCAGTGCGCTGGGTTGAGTCTGTAGTGAACAGCTTCCTTTAAGTACACACGTGCAGAAAGCACGTTTCTGGAAGGATTCACGCTTTCTTTTTGAACTCCAGAAAATATCTGGGGGTTTTCTTTTTTCCAGGAGAGTTTTTTTTTTTTTTTCTTCCCTATATAAGTCTGTTTGTTGCTTATTGTTCATGATTGATCTAGAAGGTGCTAATTCGCCATTTTTCATTCTCACATGAGAAGTGGACAGCGAATTAATTTTTTATTTGTTATTTTAAGTGTATGTGTGTGTCATTGCCTGGGGAGGTCAGAAGAAACATTAGAGGCCCTGAAGGCGGAGTTAACAACCAGTTGTGAGCCTTTGTGGTGCTGGAAATCAAACCCAGGTCCTCAGCAAGAACATCAAGTGCTCTTGTCCTCTGAACCATTTCTCCAGCCCTCCCCCCCCCCCCAAGTATATTCCAGTTTAAGTTTTGTTTGCATTGTCAGCCATTGGCATAGATGAATTACTTAACCTTCAAAGCTGAGGCTGCTTAGACTGTTATAAGGTGATAAAATGATAATAGATGTATGCTTTTTAAGCTTTCTGAGATACCTCATTTTATAATACAAACTTAAATTCTATTGAATATTGTAGCTGCGTAGAGACCATCATGTTGTGTGTTGTTTTGGAGAGTCACAGATCTGTACGGTTAGGAAAGAAACAGGCCAGTTACCTTAGGTCCCCTGGACATCAGTGTTCATGTGCTTATTTCGTTCTGGGTAAAAACCTGGGACTCAACTTTCAACTACTGTTAACAGAGAGTAGAGGAAATGAAATGTTTCTGTATTTAAAGAAACAAACAAATCTACAAAACATGACGCCTGGAGGATGGCTCAGCGGGGTTCATTGCCACAGAGTCGTCCTCTAACCCCACGCCATGCCGCTCAGGTATGTGTGACCATAAGAGAGAGAGAGAAAACACACACTAATGATAAATAAGTAAAAAGAAACACCAATTTCCCTTCTAGGTTTCAAGAGAGAGAATCACTGAAATAGTTTTTAAACATGATTGGTTAATGTGCTATCATTACAAATATACAAAGTAATATTTTTGTGTGTGACAAGTTATAATCAGTATATTAACAGAAGATTCCACCAGTAGGTTCAGTTCCCATGTAGATTTTTCCAGAAAAATCCAAATCACAAAAGTTAATTGTTGCAGAATTATCTGTGTGAATCATGTATTGCATATTTTACAAGTGGTTTATACATTTTAACAGTGATATTTTAAGTTGATTTAGTCTCAAGTGTCTTATTATGAACTTTAAAATATTTTGTAGCAGCAAGTAGAAACACACAAAATAATTCTAAGAGAGTGTTTTCCATGTTCAGGTAGATGATTTTGTAATCTTTAATGATGGCTTCCAGGAAACAATATTTCGTTGCTTTGAAGTGCCTCTGTAATATGCGTTAATATCTTCTATCTTTAGGCTTCTTAGTTTTTCATTTTACTCGGTGCACTAGATTTACAGTAAACTTTCTGGTTTTTATTGCAGATGCTGGATGAAAATAACCATCTTATTCAGTGTATCATGGACTATCAGAATAAAGGGAAGGCCTCAGAGTGCTCCCAGTAAGACCATGAGAAGCTCTTTGCGTTTGGGTTTTGTTGTTCTTTCTTTTCCTTTGAACAACAGCTTTAGTGAGTTACATTATTTTAAGAAAGTCCATTTTAGTCTTTTAAATTTACTTTTGGGAATTGTGGTAGTGTCACCTCAGTTTGAGAACATTTCCATCACCTGAAGAGAAACACGTGTTTATTGGCCATCACTGGGAATCTTTCCCAGCAGTCTCTTACCCCATAGCTTACTTTCTGATGGTATAAGTTTGACTGTTGAAGACCTTTGTGTAAATGAGTTCCAACAATGTGTGGACTGTTTTGACTGACTTCTCTCCCTCCCCATGTTTTGAAATAGGGTCTCCTGAAGTCCAGGCTGGCATCAAACTCCTGAACCCTGTCTCTGCCTCTCAAGTGCGCAGTGCAGAGGTGTGCTAGACACCCAGCTCTGATTGACTTTTTTTTTTTTTTTTTTAATGTGGCATGATGTGTCAAAACTGATAGATGCTGGCATGCACGCTAGTACTTCCTTAGAGAGCCAAACCATCTTTCATTGTACTCTGTCTTTTGGGTTGTTTCCAGTTCTCCATGGATGGTATTGCTCCAAATATATGGCTTTGTCTGTTCTTAATTTATTTTTTATTAAATTTTTATTTTTTATATTAATTACAGTTTATTTACTTTATCCCAGCTGTAGCCCCCTCTCTCATTCCCTCCCAATCCCACCCTCCCTCCCTGATTTATTTTTTTTAACAGAAGAAAATTTCTTTTTGATGAGAGGTGTCTTATATATATATACACACACATATATTGTATATATATATTTATGTAGTGCCATATTATATATTTTTATATTTACCATATATTATAAAATAATGACTTTAAACTTGTACAGAGCCTCATCTATAGAAAAGTAAAATCTTAACCTGGTGGTGGTACAACAACACACATCTTTAATCCCAGCATAGAAGGCATAGGCAGGCAGATCTCTGAGTTCAAGTCCAGCCTGGTCTATGGAGAAAGTTTCAGGACATCCAGGGCTGCTACACAAAGAAGCCCTGTCTCAAAAACCCAAAAATTAAAAAGAAAGAAAGAAAGAAAGAAAGAAAGAAAGAAAGAAAGAAAGAAA